TGGCCTATTCGAGCAGCGGACCTGAGACGCCTTCAGGTGTTCGACAATCGTTGTCTCAGAACCATAGCTCGTGTGGGTTGGTGTCGGCGAATCCGTAATTAGGCAGTTAGAAAGCGCGTTTTCGGTTGTGTAACTTCCATTGAAGAATGTGTCCAGCACCAGAAGCTACGTTGGTTGGGACATGTGTTACGTATGCCGAACCATCGTTTGCCAAAAAGAGTGCTGTTTTCCATGCCCAACTCAGAGTGGCGTAAACAGAGAGGTAGCCAACCCTTAACTTGGCAGAGGAGTATGAAGATCACGAAACGCTTAGGTGCTGTCAGTGCTACTCGCCTTCCAGGATGGGGACCGCGTGATCCTCACTGTGCCTGGTATGAGACATTACAAGATATGGCTGCCAACCGATGTCAGTGGCGTTCTTGTTATCAGTTTTTATCCAGCTTGCCTGATTGAATGTGTGGAGGTGTAGGCACCTCGGAATGATTGTGTTAGGCTAGCACTAAGTCCCTCCCCCATCCACCTTTACTCTTTTTTTACAATAAGGCTTTCAAATAAGTCATGGTTGTGCGGCAGTGAAGCATCGGTTTTGAACACTGATGTCAGGCTGTCGGTGATGATGAAGTAGTCACTCTCACAAACAATATACCAGCAGAAGCCACTGGCGCTAAACTGCAACACACTGCAATTGTGACAGTTAACACATCAACTTATAGTGTTCAAAACTCTCTGGAATTGGACAGGCACATTTTCATATCATGTTTAGTTAATTTCAATGATTTTTGTTGGGCAACCGGTCCGTCCACTTGCGCTAACTTAGTTTAAAATCACTTTCATGCCCACTTCTCATTTTCCAGCGTTCTCTTCCCGTATGGCCTGTGAGGAGAATCTTCCTGGCCAGACACGAGATTGGAACGAGGAGTTACAGGTGACACACGAACTTCCTCAGGAGCGGCTTACTGAGCGATTACTGCGGGATCGGGCAATATTTAAATCGAACAGCGACTTCGTGGCCGCTGCAACTCGCGCCGCCATGAGTGTCGTAAATGGTGATATAATGGCTATCAACCCGGGAGAAACGCGCAAACAACAAATGTTCATTTGGAATAACATGTTTTTCTCCCTTGGCTTTGACGTCAAAGACCATTACAAACATTTCGGAGGGGAACACGCTGCTTACGTGGCTACCGTATGTTGTTCATTTACAGGCATACTGTTATTGGGTACACATATCACAGCGTTAGTTAATTGTTCCTCTTAGGCCGGCGTCAGAAGTGAGAATCACTGGTATTCCTTTTTTATTTTAGGGTTGAGTGTACATACGGAATGAACGATCATTTTATCGCTATTCTAGAGTGACGTTCGATGTTTTGACATAAGTGTCACGAAGCCATGTGTGTTCTGGCCCCCATAACCTAAACTATGCCTTCTTACACTGTTTCTCAATCAGTCGAGCGATTTGAGTGGCGTTCGAACCTACTCCATGCTGGACCAGGCCGGATTGCATACTTTGGGCACTGCGATTATTGACTATCGAGGCTTTCGTGTCACGGCACAGACTATTATTCCGGGTATGTCCAAACATACATATTTTTTGTTTGGCTCGGTATGTCGCTTTATGTCCTTGGTGAGATCACATGTATACAATACACCAAAACATGGCTAACGTCGAAATGCGCTCTCATGCGCTGAACAATTTTGCACTCAGAAGCGCGGTGCATCGGTGAATGCGTCGGAATATCAGTAGTTAAGGCATTGTCAGTGGTAGCCACAGTCATTTGATCAACTACCAATGACTGTCGGATGAGTGCACCGTTTTGGAGTTATGCAACGGACCTTGAAAAAATAACGCCCTCCCTTTCTCATTTTGAACTGTAGATACCACGGTAAATGGTTTCAGGAAGTTTCGAGATCAAGCTGATTTCCTGTGTCCTGTCGACGAATTCATCGTCCCCTCAAGATGAAAATACGGTGCCTTAGGAAATTAAAACTTATCGCATACGCACAACACCATACACCCCTTTTCAGAATTCAGGCTGCCCGCCAGGTTATCAAGATATCCAGTGACGCGTTGTATAGAAATACATCGATGTTTCAGTTACAATTTAATGCATAGCTGACTCCACACGTCACTTTTCAGTTGGATGATGTACATGATGTGCGTTGCGTTGATCGAAAGCTAGGACTGCTGTTCACCGCCATTAGGACAAGATCATAACCCAGGTGCCAAGGTGGGTGACTGGCCGATAAACGCGTGTGTATCCCTGTGTGACTTGAGCAGCTAACCCAAGCGGTCCGTTATCAGTACTGAATCGGCACAGATACTCGATCGACGGGTTTGTCGGTGGCCGACTGGCAGTTACAGCTGGAGCGAACGGGCCTTTCTGTTTGACAACTCATTCCGCAATAAACTTCCTAAATTGCCCGATCCGAACCATCACTGCGTTTGGTTCACTTGTTGAGGGACATGGTTTTGCAGAGTGCCCTTGTCTACTACGATCACGTGAAGCATTTACAGGCGCTTGCACATATTTAACATTCATAGGCAATCCGTTGCTCTCAGCCTTACGCGGAAATCAACGGACACACTTACCTTATGAGTTCCAAGAAAAGTGAAGCCAGCAGTAAGCTGTCCAGAGTTTTCGTCGACCACACGGGTCGAAGTCAGTGCAAACAGTAATCATCATAATGAGCCCAACAATTACTGTGACATTGTGCATAACATCTGGATTTCGTTTGGTCGATGTTTCAACTATGGACAGTCCCAACGAACATGTTTTTACTGCATTGCTGGCTAATCTAAGCCAGCTCCCTTCAGGAGTCATCCACTTGCGTGAAGAGCTTCCAGTGCAGACAAACCTAGGTTGGTGACACGAAGATTCTCCGTTTTGCCATCTTTGGGACTAGTTCATCCGTTTGAGGAGCAAGAAACTGTCCCTGTCTGGTTCCGCGGCAGGTGTCCTCTCGAGGGATGCCTCAATGAAAAAATGCTTTCGTCAGAACTGTCTCCTCGATGGAGACGTTTTTCTCATGGATAGAGGCTCGGTTGAATACTGTTTCATTTACTGGGTCAATTAAATAAGAGTGGAACGAGGTACGGAAGTACAGCACTAGTATACTGTGCCTCACTTGTACGTTACACCGGTGGTACTCTCAACAAAGCACTTGACTCCTCTTTAACAATCCAACGACTCTATCTGGATAGGTCGGTTCACCACGGTCTCGACAGATCGTAAATTAAAAAAGATGTAGATTGTTTATTCATGAAGGGGTCTGACACCCACTTTGTTATGTTAGTCAGACATCCCTGTTGGAATATACTACATGTGAGTTGACTTTTAGGGATATTTTAGGACTACCCAGGCAGTCCGATTAAGATTACAGAAGCCATAAGTTTTGGTAATACCTGCTTTCTTGTAGATTACACTTTTTGTGAAATATTTCAAAGTCTGTCACTGCACCGTAACGCCACTTCGCTTGTCCTATCTCACACTCCTGGGAATATGGTTCAAGGCGACCGACCATCTTGTGATGGAATCACCATAGCACATGATGTCATAGTTCGCAGGGGTCCCAAGTGTTGTGTAGGTTGAAACCGAACCTTGCTAGACACTACTAGCACAACCCTAATAAATGAGCGTAGCTAACTTCATTCGCTGATCAAACCGTGGTGAGTGGTGCGTCATGTGGAATGGGGCTAATCCAATTGAGGCTGCACCCAGGTATTTGGACGTTGTACCTCACACCTACACCTTTGTTTCAAGATGATGTACTGTAATTAGGTTACTGTTTATCGATGCTTCATCTTCCCAATACTAGCGTTGTAATTTCTACTGAACTTCGGACATGTAGGCACCAGGAATAGGCTTCCGAAATCCTCCTGCCTTACAGCAAAGAGCCAGTTCTTTGCCTGATATGTGAACAATGAACCAAACCCCCAACTTGATGTTATATGAATACTTTTCCTACAACTGTCTCGAAACTACTGTTTTCACTGGTACAAAGGTCATATTGTTCGTGTTCGCCGATGATGCAGTCGGCGAACGATTGTCCGAACTAGGGAAGAAACGTCTCGTAGTCACACGTGACATGCCTGCTGTATTTCATTCAACTTTCATCTCGCCTTACGTGTGCCAATGGCTGAAGGGTGATAATTCATTTTCACCTTGTTCATGTTTTCCTTTTCTATCACACACACACACAGGAATATTGGAAAAGGAGCAAGAACAGTTGGTCGTGTATGGTTCGATCGATTTTGGGAAAACCGTGCTTACCGATAAGCGATATGAAGATTTGCTGTCCAAGACAGCAAAACAACTGAAAATTCGACCACATAAGTAAGTTTCTATATCTGACAAGCTGTCCTAATTGTGGTATTTTTCGAGCGAGATGAATAACAAACCAGTTTGCAAACATTAGCTGGTCTTGGAGTCGTATGACATTTTACTTAATGTTGCCAGTGCCTGAACATTCTTGAAATCCACGAAAAAATAGTCTTGCAACTCGAATGAAGTGAACTCAAAGGCTGACCGCCCTGCTGACCCAGCCTTGGAAATATTGAAAGTCCGTTCCGTTCATGACTTACCTTCGGCAGCTTCAATGATATTAACTCAATGTCTGCGGGAGCTCATATCGGGTGGTCCATGATGGCTGCTGACTGGATTGGGACAGTGTTTGTCTCACCTCATTTGGGCCGTTTAACAGAAAGAGTACCTTAGATGAACGATCTTATTCAGTAAATGATAGCACACAATTTTACACTGACCAGTGTTGTCAACGCACTTAGTTGTTGACACCGGGTCTGAAACACGGACCTGCTGTAGATAAAACGGCAGCCGGTCGACTTGTTACTTATCAGTGAAGAAACCATTCACTCTATGAGCTTCAAGGCTTTTTCTTGTCTTGCCTGATCCCAAGGCTGACCGTCGCACAATCCATGCAGGTAGTGGTTAGGGCCAAAGTCCAGTTACACAAGTAGACCTTGACTAGCGTTATCGTGGTTCGATCAACCGAGAAACTGTTGACTACGCGTGATCCGTAACGCAAGACCAATTGAATGTCACCTCACGTAGTTCTAGGTGTATAGGCGCCGGGTTCGCCGAAACAATGGTAAATGTTGTGGACCTTCTACTTTGAGCTATCTAAAATCCATATTTCAACCTACCGGCACGGCGACTGTCCCTCACAGTTTATTTTCGACAAAATTGTGTATAAGTCCCTAAGTATGACCGCGTTATTTAAAACAGAGTCCGAGCTTTGGATGTGGGCAGACTGTGGGTTCATTAGATTGGCCGCATGGTGCTCCACTTGAAAACAATTTTTTGAGCAACGGCACTATCTTCTTCCATGGTGGGAAGGGCTACTGTGCTGTATCTTACCGATTTCACTCCAGTAGCCATCACTGTATCTCGGACTTTGTATTCTAACTGCGCACAATGCAAGCGGTTAGAGCTGCGTTCTGTAGTCAGGCTGTAAATGAACTGCATATCGTACAAACAGTCTATAGTGTCGCTGGTTGCAACTGCATGCTTTTTCAAGGTCGTGCGTGATGTTCAGGTAACAAGTCCGATTATGTGATAAGCGCAGTTGGCCACGATCAAACGTCATACTTTCTGGCTAATGACGTTCCCTGTAACGGTCCTCTCTCGAATATAATTTTGCTGTTATGCAGGTGTCACACGATTAGTCTAGCCATCTCCAGTACGATCGAACTCTTGGTTTTCCCGAGTTCGTAATAGTTCGTAATAGAACTACTAATACCCCCTACCAAGAGCGAACATCTTAAGGATTTGACTTAACTAGCGCTTCTGTGGGTATCCACCATTCGGGATCCCATAATACAGTTCTCCTAATGTTTAAGAATATGGACACCACGTCCCGTTCAACTTGGCTCACTCTTAGGTCGTGTGCTCTTTGGAATATCAGCTAAAAATGCACAAGCAAAACCGTAACGTTCTTTATGTTTTCTGTTATTGCTGGTATTTTTGTTGATGAACTGCTCCAATAGTCTTGATAAAAGCGAGGTGTCTCACTTTTGTTGGAATTGGGATACGAGGAATCCCATACTTCATGGAGGGGGCGAGATGGACCAAGTGGTTAGAGGTTACTGACCGGGAGGTCCGTGGTTCGAACCCGACCTCTGCCTCTCGACTTCCCCTGTCTATGCTTGGGCAACCTTGCAGTATCCCAGCCCTCGTGCCTGCTTCGGGTAGCATGGCAGCTAGGCACCGAAGGGGTGCTACCGCTGAACGATTATTTTATTTCTTCTTCATAGAGTTCCTGAAGAGACGTACCCGTGGGGTTTCGCTCATTCAGGGTGTTCTTGATCTCACTCTACTCCATGGTAACGTTGTGTGTGCTTGAATGCATCGAATCCAATCTTTTCACTTTGCAGGGGCTTCACATCCGTGTCACAGTTTTTGGGAGACTGATCTGACTGACTACCGCACAACAGCAGTATCTGCACGATTGAAGTGTTTCGAGTAAATATTGTTCCCTAAATGGAGAACTGATAGAAGTAACCCAAAAAGTACACCCTGGATTCACCAAACAGGTGATTTGTAATTCAACATGCAGGTTTCAGCTGCCATCCACCGACCGTTTCCGTTAGACTCATGGTATCCCTGACTTTACCTTGTTGATTTCGATTTCTCCTTTGATTGCTGTCCACTTCGCGGAGATAGAATTTGCAGAATGTCAGGAGTGCGTCTGGCGTAACTAGGTCAGGCTGTTGAGACCCGTCAACAGCGAGTACCTGATGGAGCCCACCGTTGATGGTTCCGAACGGAAATTGTAATGTTCCTTTGCATCCGCTGATAGAGAGTTCTGGTAACCTACTTCTACGTCACTGGCGTCTTCCCCATCAATAGTTGTGAGACTCAATTCATGTGTACGAACCGAACAGGTTTCATGTGGAAGTTCGGTTACTTCGGTACCTAACTGGGGGCAGCTATTGGGTTAGGATAGGTGTTGAATGTCACAGTTATCTTTGAGTTGGATCCGGATATATCTCACACTTGTCTAAACCACTTTTGGTAAATGTGTGCGTCCGAGTTAGAGCTATATCGGTAACGATGCAAGTTCTTGCCTGGACAGATGATGATATTATTAAAAATAGGAGAACCATTCATCTATAACACCCTTTCGGTACCTAGCGGCCATGCCACTCGAAGGAAGCACGAGGGCTGGGACACTGCCAGGTTGCCTAAGCCTAGACAGGGGAGGTCGGGTTCGAGCCACAGATCTCCTGGAATTCGCGCTCCAACCACTGACATATCTCGCCTACTGTTGGCTCCCGTCTGTGACTCACGATTTCTGTGGTGAAACATCTATCCGCTTTTGTTCCGCACACTGCGTTTGATAATGGTGAGATCCGGTGAGATGCACTTACAAAATAACTGATGAGTTTTCTCCCGATGTCAGCACAGAACCCTGATGGTTCTATCCTTTGGAAACACTCAGTGTGATAACCCATTTGAAAACTTGTAGAAAAATAAACTGCGCTATGATAGTTGATAGTGCGCTTAAGAGCCGCTGGCTTTGCAACAGATCACCAAGTAACACTGCCTTTTACAAATCCGCGTTTGTTTTCACAGAGTTGTAAATCAGAACGGAGATGTTGTCCAACTTTACTCGTCAATCGATTGTAAGGGGATCGTCGGCAATGATAGACGAACTTATATTCTCGATTTACTTCGCACCTTTCCACCGGATCTCAACTATTTCGGTTCTTGTCCAACGGAACTTCGTCCCGAGTTACCTGCTTCCCTCACCGCGCTTGGCTACCCGTATAATCACCGACATTTACTGTCTACTTTGCGCCAAGAGCTAATTGAGGCTTTCTTTGAGTAAGTACTGATATGTATGCGTGTGATATTTTTTCCATTCGTCATTCTCCAACTGGTTTTCTGAATCAGGCTTTCACTTATATAAGCGCAGCTTGGCGCTCATCCAGTGGGTATGTACATCTCCAACCATTATGAATTGTTAAAACCATTTCAAAATTCACGCCAGCGACAAAGCTGCCATCACCTCAGTGCTACATTTCATTGATTCGTCATTTCCGACCGACAGAACTGCATTTTCTCTCTTTTTCCCGGGGTGCTTGATGAATACTGGCAGATACATTAAACCGTTTCTTTTCTTCCCACAGATTTCGGCATGAAACATTCCTACGCCTCGCGGCATTTGAGATACAAAAAATTAAGGCCGAAAAGGCCAAAGTTCTGCCGTCGATGGTAAGTATCACCTCGTACTAGCAGTATTTTTGGGATCCGTTCTTACTCTGTGTTCACCAGCTGAATGTGAACTCCTTTTTGTCTTGCTTTTAACATTGCAGTGTATTTTTTTACTTAAACCCGGTTAGTCGACTCTGTCCCACCATGCGAATGTTTTCAAGCACAATTTTTGGATCAGGACAGCAACACGCTCCATCCCCTTTGGATCGTAAGAACCAGCTTGTTTATACCGTGGGTTTTTATTCATCATTTGCGCATACCAACCCGAATATTCTGTCAATGACCGGTAGTTTGTTGTCGTCTAAACGCTGCACCAGCGCCCATGTTATCTTTCAGCTCTGCCCTGGGCCCTGTATCTTCAGATCAACTTCGATGCTTCTATTACAGCGCTTAGTATGCTTAAAACACTGCGGTACGATTGCTTGCTATGTAGGCCTTCCTTGGGTTTTTCGTTCACGTTGACCCGCTATGTCAACTTAGATTTGGCACGCACTTACCGTTCACTTTTTACATGTTCTATCCAACATCAGTGGGATCCCTACCATACCCTCAAGTGTTTGCATCGTTCGTTTTTGTAGATTAGTAACAATTTCCCGGAAAGATTTATTTCGTGTACGTATCTTCTAACGATTGTCGAACATTGGGGCGACTGCTTATCGTATGAGCCCTTTTTTCATCATCTCGTTTCTCAGACCAATGGCACCAAGGAATCTGAAGAAGAAAATTTGGCAGCTGACAGTCCGGTTTGCCCCCCGGTACATTTTGTCAGGGAAGATTCTCCCAAAATAGATCCTCAGGCCACCGGTGACCCGTCACATTCCGTGGCTTCCGTCGTAACCGCCAAAAAGCCCACTTCAAGTGGAACCCAGTCAGACGATTTGATCCTTATGAAAAAGCTTTTGGACACCGGTTCAAATGGTGAATTAGGTGAGTAAAAGCCAGACACATTCCAACTCCTTCGTCTAGCTTATCGATAGTTCATTTTGGAGTTCCTGCGCTGACTCGTACTCTACAGACCGCGTCCGTACTTCTCCCAAGCACCATCAAAAGTCCACATTTTACGGACATCTATCGATAGGTTGTGCTTGACCAGAGAAGAGATTCGGTTTACAGGTACTATTTACAAGCGTGTCTATACTTATCGTTGCAAATACAGCACCTCTCTATCGAGAAGACAGTTACTGAGGAACGTCTTTCTCATTGTCATCCTCCTTCGAGGGGCACATCTCCTCAGAATCGGTTCCACAATTAGTTTCTCGTCGGACCACCGATGGAAAGCAATGAAGCTGAAGGATAGAGCAAACCTTGCTTTTGGCGGTTCTTTGTTCCAAAGATATGCGTCAGTCACGGATATGCGGGACTGTTCGATTTCTAGACCATTCACTTCAGACGAAATGAAAATTTTAACTCGTCCTCACCAAAGAATTTCCACTGCATTTGTGCAAAAAGCTTACCATGCCGTTTTTGATCAACCTCCCACGAAGAAACACATAAATTCCTCCAAATTTGGTTCCTCGAGAAGGGCTGTAATATTAAGCTGGAGTCCTTTCTTTTGCCTAGTGATCCTGGCCCGTCGCTTTATTTTCTCTTTACTGGCTTAGTCAACTCCATGGCGCTTAAGCCGTATTCATATTGACAACATTCGATGTTCTGGTAATTTGTTGAGCACAGTTCTGTCTCCACTCATGCACAGTAATAACATGGCGTGCTTTCGTCACTGATATGTGGTCACTTCCGTGACGTGGTAGAGTCCGCTTATTCATCTCGATGTTTTAGTGCCGTGAGGGTATCCTGTTTGCACATGTTTCCTCATTTATGCTGAGGACATGCATGCTTTCGTTATTGATAACGTCTCATTCGATAAATAAGATAGACAATGAGGCCAATGCACGTTGTTGACCTGCAACAAGGGGACGGGTAATAATAATAATAATAATAGTAATAGTTCAGCTGTAACACCTCAGTGCCTGGCTGCCATGTCACCCGAAGGAAGCAGCAGAGCTGGAATACTGCCAGGCTGTCCAAGCCTAGACAGGAACAGTTGAGGTGCAGAGGTTGTGTTCGAACCAGGTACCTTCCGTTTACTAAACTCGCACTTTAACCACTGAGCTACGGATCCAGTGTGTTTTGGTGTACTGGATCAGCGTTGATGCCTTCACGTATCTCTTCCGTGTTATAAAATAAGGGTTACGCATCCGGGTTGCGATCGCTTCATTTTCTCTGTATGTTCCTGTGGTACTCCGTTGGGTGGCGGATGATCTAACCATGTGAGTTTTAGTGAACCTTCATGCATGATTTGCGTGGTCCACACGTATCTTTCTTTATCACTCTCGACCTCCCGACAGTAATTATTTACTTTCTCTGCTTCCGTTCTATCCATTCAGAGGACTTGACACAGCAAGCAATCCAGAGGGCAGCTAAAGCAGTCGGATCGGCGTGTCCTGATAGGTTTGAACTGGCGTTTAATCCAGACGTTTGCCAACAATTTGTCACCTTTTGTGATTCTGAGGTATGTTTATCTTTAATTCTTACGTATTATGTTGTCTGGTCGATTTCTCGGGACAAAGTTGAATTGGTGACAGTTTCGTCGCTTTTCATCACGAAGACAAGTTTTATCTCCGTATAGCAGTTTACATATATAGGTAATCTCGTGAGTTTTATGGAGGTGAGCTGGTTCTTTATGGGGACCGCATGGTTGAGTAGTTGGAAACCTGAATACTATGGTTCGGCTAGCGAAGTATTCACTACCCAATTGTAGGGAATTTGGTAGCAGCTAACCTGATGCGAATCTACCACAATTTTCCAATGAAAGCACATGTGTGAGGTGCTATTTGTATTATGAGAGGGCGTTGTGAGAACGTGCCTAGACTGAGGAAGGTGGACCAGTCCAATGCCTCTTGCTGAGGCTCTGACCCCCCTATGTCCCGATAACAGTAGAATTCTCGTTCGGTTACAATCGGACCATTCACGCTGGACCTGTACTTAGGCTATTAGTTCCGGCAACACAAGCTGGTTTATCTTGGATAATCATATCATCGGAGTGTAAAAGAGCCTATCAATCCAACAACCATTCTCTACTTGGTGAGTCCTGCTGCTTCACTTTAGCCTTTGATAGCCAACACTTTTGTTCCACGCGATAACTGTGCGTGCTTCTCTCTTGTGAGAAGTGAAATATAACTGGCTTTACTTAGTGTCTGGAGGCGTTCAGCTTCCAAGCACATGTATTGACCTTTGTGAAACGGTGGACAAATTCGTGATTCATCTACCTGACTTGCTCCACTTTGGATATATCTGCTTGTTAAGTTCTTGTCTTGTGGTCAATAGGCCCAGTTGCGCATGGCTCTACTCTGTTTCGCGCGTGCTCATTGTACAGTGGCATGTAGTCGCATAGAGCATGGGAAGCCGTTTCTTGGTCAGTGCTATTTAATCGGTGTTTACTATCAATCTCAATGCGTTTTCGTTGGATGTGGTTGTAATTTAACTTCGTTAATCCCCATTGTTTTATCTGTTAGATCGTCAGATATCGGTACTTTTTTTTTAGCTCCACCCACGATTGCGATAGCATTTTCTTCTGAAGAACTGAATCTATGTCCCTCCACTTTCTCGCTGATTTCTCGTAGCTCGAGGCATTGGAGGCTGACAAAGCCTTGATATGTGATGCCTGTGACTTCCTTGTCAACAAACAGATCCCCGGTTTTGTGAAGGACTGCCTTAACTTGTATGTAACTCCACAGGACAGTCGAGCGTTGGTGGAGATATTACATCAGAGGTAAGTGAAATTCACATTTTGATGCTTGGTCGTATATGCTTTTGAAGCCTACAAACCACCACTCTGCTAATGAAATCATCCGAATTATTTCCATTCGACTGGTCTTGTCACGTGTGTTTGACTTTGTAAACCGATTTGCTGGTTGCGGCCCATTGTTTGTGTTGATCATTTGCGTCCAAGATGTCTATTGTGTCTGTTCGTGCTATCCAAAACAGATTTTCAAACATTAGTGCGTTCGCACACACAGTTACTTCCTTCCAAGGGTTTAGCATGCAAAAACACAGTTAACTATAAATGTACACAAATTTTGAGCGTTGCTTGGTGCTTTTTGACAAGGTAATACTACTGACGGTGTGGTCGTTGGTTTCCTGTGTATCCCAGTTGTAACGATACGTTCTACTTTCGCCTTCTGTGGACTTTTGTAAGAGTTTTCTGCATTCCTGTTTATACCATCACTTACCTCATATCCATCGTTTGCCTGTGAGCGGGCCCCCGGGAGTATTTCGATCTCCGGGGTGCAGAGAGAAGACTCGAGCAGAATATCAGTTGTGAAGTTAACAATAAAGGGTGACAAGAGACACCCTTTTTTGTGGACCACTTTGCAGATATTATCAATTCGGTCGGTTGTTCTGGGTTGATCGTGATCCGTGATCTCGTGTTGTCAAGGCCAGTTTGGCACCAGGTAAGCTTGAGAGAAGTCGACGATCGCGCCCAGAAAGCTGACTGCGGCTCTACAAGGCGATGGTTTTTATGTCCTCCTGAACGATATTGAAATACTGACTATCCGTACGGTATCCAGTACCTTTAGAAATAACTAGGGCACGTACCTTAAACGAAGGTTATATGTATGGCGAGTATCGTTGGAATACATTAAGGATGGTTGGAATACTCATCGAATAGAGAAGGAATGATCCCTAACTCGATCCTATAGTCGATATAACTGATGGTATGCTGGTGAACAGATACGTTACTAGCTGGATAGCTTGGTCGAAGTCCTGAAGGCCACCATTATGGGACAATGAGTGTGTGCGTGTGCTTATGTGATGGGCGGATCCAACAATTAATGGCTTTGGCTCATATAACAGGAACATTCCAGGCCTATTGGCGATCTTGGGGCTGTTGAACCTGGCAACAGCACTGGTTGAGTTCGCACCGTTTGTATTCGTATTTCCCTGGTCACTTTGATCTAATTGCTAATCGACAGGTGCACAGCGCATCGCCTACGGTTAAAATGAGAAGAGGAGGCTTGCTTGTTCCCCTGGGTTATCATCTAGCTAAAGTTGCTACCCAAAAGGGTAGCAGTCGTAATTATAAGGAGTTTGTGTCCAGCGCGACGGATCCATAGTTAGGGCGTGAAGTTGCTGACCGGAATGTCTGTGGTGATGATTGTGATGAACTTAACCATGCCCTATCTACGCTTGGGCAGCCTGACAGTATCTCAGCCGTCGTGCTTCTTTCTATTTTCGTGGCAGCAGCGCATCGAAAGGGTGCCGCAGCTAAGTGGCTGTTATTATTTTGATGTTCCTTCATACACCGTGCAGGCTTGCATGGATCTTCGCACACTGGTCACCAAATTTGCAAACTACTCGTCATCATTTTACAGTCGTTTTGTTTATCTCATTGAGTCTCATACTTTCACACCAGTCCCTCCTAGCTCGCGTGCGCGCACTGTCACTGGCCGATCGACTTACTGTTTCCAACACTCGCACACATCTTCGCCTTCACACACACACGCATCATTTACCTTGCTGTTTACACATACCGGTTAGACAAGTGGCTGCAAAGAGACCGGACCTTATAGCGGCGTGGAGGTTTGTGTATCTCTGTGACACTGAGCTTTACTGGGGCGTTTCACTTTGACAGTCACAGAGTTTCTCGTATCAGCTTTTGGTTAGTGATTATAGACCTGACGAACACAGTCTCTTGGTCCTCCAGATTAGCGGTTGGAACAGGCGGGCCGACTTATTCCTTGAAAAATTCTATGCTACTGCAGTGTACCGGTACGCACCCGCCGCCTTGCGGTCAGGCTCCTGAGCCAAAAACCTTAGGTGAGGATCTTAATGCCTTCCTATCAAGGTGTGGACGCCCTGACTGCACGTCAATGCGCGTGCAACCATGAAAATCACGACGAAAAATATTCCGTGGTGCCATCAGCCGGGTCGCCTTGCTGCATGCAGCATGGCGGCTGTCGTTCATGCGCTGGGTTTCCTCTGTATTAGTATATGCTATTTGTCAGAAACAAGGATCCAGGACGCAAGTACTGCAACTAGACTGACTGCTCCCTCACTCTTTTCCAGCTTTCGGCTGCTCACCCGTGGTTACACGGAGATAAACGTACATGTTAAGGTGGATGCTGTGCTAAGCCATCTTGCGGAAGCGTCTTTCTTGATTGGATACCTGTTGATAGTCGCCTCTGCGTGGTTTCTTTGGCGACATCTGTGAAAAGACCTCAAGAAAGTGATGTTCATTGCCCCCTGTTTATTTTGTCTGCTTACGCCCCGGCTGACTGTGGCTCTGAACCTGCCCAGAACAACTTCTATGATGCTCTAGTTGTTTCTTTACAGCGGGATGAAAGCTCACACCGTTGCGTTTGCTAGTATTATGAGCGCTCAACCAGGTAGACTAAGCGCTGCTAAGGCCCATTTCGGTGGTTGTCTTGGGTTAAACACGATACGCATAAAGCGTGGTGGGCGGCTGTTGCAGACTTTGATCACACTGTTCCTTTCGTACCTATTTCCGTGACATTTGAAATCGTTTGGCCACGTAGGGTTAACGAACGAACCGGACCCGAATCCAAATAGATTACATTATCACGAGCTACTTGTGGCGAGGGTCGACCAATGCCTGCCACCCCTGGAATACTTGTATGGACTCCCAACCGTGCACTTGTCAGCCGCTTCGTTGAATTGAGTGTTTAAAGTCGACGCAAAACGCGCACACCTTGCTTAGCTGCTTAGAAGTTCTTGGACCAAAAAATCAGACAGAACTATCACAGTCAACTCTTCCAATCCTTATCAGCTGGTCCGATGTCGGATGTTAATGATTACTGAAGGTAGATGTCCCAGGTGGCACTCAATACGGGAAACCTTACCTCCGGCACGACCCGGAACACTTCATGCAAGCACTGGATCTTTGACAGGAGTGTGGCTTTTTTGGATGCCCGGCGAGGGATTTCTGCTGATCGAAACCGAGACTCAGCTCGAAACATCGCTAGGTGAAACCACTTGCCCGTGCAGACTGAGAAGCTTGGTAGGTTCGAAAAGCTGAAGAAATAGAAGATGCGAAAAATGCTTAAAATGTCCACAGGTCGTTCGACTGCTTCCCGGAAGCCCTTTGTTAACGAAACCAACAGGGACCGAAATGACTCTCATGTCCAGCAAGGGAAAATGTTTGGACCTTTGGGCACAGTATTTTGTACAAAAATTCAGTTGGCCTCCATTCCTAACTGTTGACCCATAACAGAAATGTGGACTGCAGATATGGGACTCCCTTGCTTCAAAAAGTGGTGTTCATTCTCTCCGTTCTTGTCCAGCTTCGTCACTAGCGAATTATTGAGGTGAATGCTGGAATTCTTTCAAAACCCGGGTAGTCAAGTCATTGCTGGTGAGTGCCTCTTCGATCTGGAGCACACAGATGGCATTTTCGAAGATGAAGATAAAAGTGAAGCACAAGCTCTGTTGAATAGACTGACCGGCGTCATACCATTTCTAGACATGCATCATGAACCTACAAAGTTCAAAACCATGCCTCAGAATGTACATTCTTTGAACATGGCTTCTGCAATTCAAAGAGAAGCATTGGAGGTTGTGGAGATTTTTTTATAACTTTGTGATTGTATTGGCTCTGATGGAATCGTGTCTGCTGAGTTCAGTGAACTAGGCACAAAGACTCGAATCACATTTGCTAATATGCGTTGTTTGTGGCGTCCAGAGGGCATATCATCAAGTCTCAAGGGTTACTTGTACCAGTCTGCTGGTGTATGGTTGCGGGACATTGTTTTCTGCGAGCAGATGATCAGAGACTTCTTCAGGACTTCTTCAAAAGACCACCGATTTCTCATATGCATTACTGGTGTCAGTAACAAATGCGTAACGAAGTGATTAGAAAACGGGTTTTTTGTGTTACAGAAGACATACCAGTCACAGACAACACCCAGCAATATCAGCTGTGCCAGTCACGCCGAAACATCGTCTGCCGAGGTGAGCGTTGTTCCCCGTAAGAATGGCGGAAACTGCGAGAGGGCAATGCCTTACTTTCGCAGCAGGGTTTGATAGAAATTACGAAGAGTTCGGGTGTCGTTCATGTGGTCCGACTTCCAGGGTAGGGTTCCCATGATCCCTTCCCGCTTCTGGATGGAGACTATGATAAATGGCGCCTCATCAATGTCAGTTCTGCTTGTGATGCCAATTTCTTTTCTTGCGATTGCCTGGTTGAGCATTTGGGGATGTAGGCACGTCAGAATACCTGTGATAGGCTAGCATCAGTTCAAAAATTTATACTGCCTTCTTTAATTATAATGGTCGCGGTCTGACAGCAGAGTTGTTTGCCGTAATAATGGAACTCAACTTGACAAGGCCCGACTCTTTAGTAAGGACGTGGAGTTGAAAAGTTGTAACTCTACGTGTTGGCACTACGACCTTTTGAATCAGTTTGTTCCCTGGGATCAATCGTTATTTTGCAACTGCTCTTTATGCGTCAGCTTATTCCGAGACGCTTAGGTTTGCACTATTTTTTACTCTCACTTCAAGGGGTATCAACGTGAGGTACCTGAATCGTCTGATTGAGTTAGTTGAGCGGAAACCATCGCTTGGTTACCTCAAGGTGAGTACCAGCTTTTATGCCTTATTTTGACGCCTTTTCCAATGAAAATTCATTATTCGAACGATCTCTGGAAACGGATTGTTGCCTTCCTCAGGAAAAATCCACCTGCCCGAAAGGATGTCCATTCGTCTGAAGTGCATTCACTGCCACATTTTTGTATGCTTTATTACCTCAAGAGAGACCAGTCACACTTCGTAGAGTCCACGATTTCGTCCCCTGAGAAGTGATTTTACCTCTCCCCATGAGAAGGCTATGACGGACGAAAAATACCGACTTCTGCATAGCCTCTAAATAGTTCACACTCGGCTGAACGTAGCTGAACAGTGTTTTAAAATTGCTAACTTAGGCTAGAAATGCATAGCTTTACTTCGTACTGGATCGAATAGTGATTAAAAACGTACCTCCGCAGTAGCGTTCTTCATGTGAGAGTTGCATACCGTAGTGTGCACCGGTTATTGGTTTTATTGAACGATCTGTCGAATTCCGGGCGAGACTGAAAACAAGCAAGTGACCGGTCCAAGTCTAGGTAGATTTTTGGTTCACCCTTAGTCTGTCGTCACCTGAATGCTGCATCTGGGCGAAGCTTGTGTTGCGAAATGTAGCATTGAAAATACGACCCTGGGACCAGTTCAACCTGTAGCAGAAGCAGACACTGAAGTAATTTGCGATTGGGGTTTCGTTGTGTAAGTAAAGTCAATATGTGCCGCAAATGCGAGAAGCACCGTACAGTTGTGCCATCCTCATTGGTCCTCCCTCAGACGGAAGGTTCACTCGTCGTGTGAATTATTATTTCTCCTAATTGCTTTTAGATTGTTGGTAGCATGCTAATCAGGAAGTGTCTCCGCGCAATAGCCGAAGGTTTATTTCATTTCGTCCCTTTTTCGTGTTTTTTCTCCAGCGTCTTTGTGTAATCGAGGTTTTGATCCGTTCCGCAAAACATATCTTCAAAAATTACATCCAAGAAGTGGATCCTATGCTTCTTTCGGTCGGCGTCGCGCACTTTCTCAACTGCTTCCTCACCAGCTGTCCGAATCTCACACCACTAGCTGGGATCGATGAGGTGGGTTTCTTACTCTGATAATGATTCCCTGTGTTCTACTCGTAGTTCATATTGTGAATAGTTCAACTATTTTTTGGGAATCACCGAGGTGACTTGATGCGACGCTACTTATAAAGTTGATGAAAACCCTGACCCATTAGCGGTTTTATCCTTTTTGGGAATAACCAGTCCTCGAATTCCCATCAACCTTATTTCTTTAGAAAATATTGTTAGCAAGGAATTCGGCTAGATTCGATCGAGTATCCCATCAAAACCATTCTAATGATGGTGTCTAGTGAGGAAGCTTCAGAAAGCTGCATACTTGTTCGTCAATGCTTTTGTTCACAAAAGTATACAGACGCACCGTCATCCACGTGTTCCTCCACTGACCCGATTCTTGTGACCAGGATTAAGAATAAATTCGGATGTTGGACTAGTTGGTTTGGTTGCTTGTTCTTCTTATGTGAACTGGAAATGTGGCGACTGGATATGTGTTCAGGAATTGATTCCGGGGCAGAAAGGTGTACAGGAATTTCAGTAAAAACAAGATCTGGTATGTGGTGTGTTGTGTTGTGTTTTCAGGTCGCACCCCATACTTTATGGGGCTGTGAACCAGTTCAGTGATCTCTGCAACTTAGGTTTCGCGGTTCTGCATTGCTAACATAAACTTATTTCTTTGTGTGTAGTATTATTGTCAACCTTTGCTTAGTCGTATAATCGGTCGTTTCATTTAGAGCTAGTTCGTTTATGGTGGAACCCTAACTCATGCTTTAGTATTTCCTTTCACTCCATTTTGGTGACTTGGAGCATGGATAAAGTGCAAAATACATTTTTCTGTTGGCAGCTGGTAGGTGTTTGGTGAACCACAAACCGCTTACGTAAAACTTGTGTTGTCCTTTCAAAGAGAAAGTTTGTGTTTCATTTCACTCGCTTTCTGAAGGTGGAAGTCATCTCACAACCATATAATTGACCGAATTACCCTCCTGCAAAGAGGTGACGCCACAATGACACGCCTTTTGCTTCAAAGATGTATTTCAACCTATGCCTAGAAATCGAGGAATATTGTGCAGTCACTTGAAGTCGTCAGCTTTGTGCATCTCGTGTAAGACTCAAACCCATAGGCTTCCAGAGTGTATTTTGATCTCTGTGCCTTTACTACGAGTGACTTGTCGACAGTAAGATTAGCGTGCACTAAAACACATCGTGTCACTCGTCCTTCAGTCGCCTCTTTTCCTTCACGTGCACCGGCGCTGTCTGACTCTTCCAGTGTTTGGTTTTTCAGACTGAAGGTTCATGTACCCTGTGGGATAGTTTTTAAACAGGTAACTCTGGGTGCTCACAACCCCCGTTCGCTACACACCAAATACCCGTTCTCATTAGCCCACTCTTTCTCGACAGATGCCGTTAGCATCACCGTCACACTATCGCGAGACACGGCAATAAAAACTACCATCTGTTTAAGTTAGTCGGATTTAGCTGATCTGTGAATCGTTATTTTTCCGTGCGTCCGTGCATTGCATGTGCCATTCTTCAAAACTCTTATTGCGGTTTTCGCCATTTTATTGTTCAACCAGATGATCAACGATTTGGTACGATAGCAGTCCTAACCTAACACATGGATGCCATACGGATTGAAGTCACTGAAGAATGGAGATGAGCTAAACGATTTACCTTGACTTAATGTCCATCGAGTTCCCAACATTAACTTTGCGATATCAATTTACACTTCCAGTTCTGCTGCTGGCCCACAATGGTCCAGATGACTGGCGGCCTTTATGCAGGTTAAACATTAGCTTGTTCTGCTCAGTCTCTCCGTGGCCTACATACAGGGTAGCCGAACATGTGAAAATTTTCATCACATCCATCTAAAGGCTGCTGAAAAGTGATCGTGAGCCAGGTTATAGTCGAGTCGATTATGGTTGACATTATATTGTCGTCCAAATTAATACACTCCAAGGGTCACAGCTGTTGAGTGGACTTCACAGAAAACTCTGGGATGTTTGTCCGTTGAATGGGAGTACTGTATTTGCTTGTCATCGGATTCGGTATTCATGAGTGAATTATTCCGTGGAGTCAACACTGTGGCGCGAGTTGTGAACCGTCGGTTATTGTTTTTTGTGAAGAACCGCTCAAGATCACTGCCGCACTTTGGATATTGTTCGAACATTCGCTTTTGTGTTATCTTTAAGGCCCACTTGTTTTTATGCCTATCGCTCTAATCCAGAACACGTCTGTTCCATTGCAGCAAGTTTTACGACTCAGCCGAAATAAAAAAGGAAAAAAGAAACCGAAGAATCTTCGTGAATCACCCGGCAAGTTTTCTGTTTGCGTTCCTATTTATCAGTCATAGGGATTGCTACATAGCGCATTACTAATTTCTACAAAGGTGTCCCTTTCCGTGACTTCAGACCTAGTTGGTTCCAATTTCACCCAAAGTCTCAATTAGTTACTTGTCACCGTATTTGCCGTAATTTATCACGGTAACTTGTAGAAGCATGGGGCAGACAGTTGAGCACCTGAAATCATGATTAATGGATAGGCTGGTGTCAGCGAAGGTGCAACTAGATCCGTGCGAATCTGCCGAGGTAAATACTTGGAGCCACTGTTGCTTTTCCCAGAGTGTTGATTATTCAGCTGATGCATTGCCATCACATAGTCATTATCACCATCGACAGCAACGCCGCCGGAGAACCATGGTTTATTTGAGTACCTTATTGCGCAGAAAAGAATAAACGTGGATGGACATGGGACTTGTCCCTAGTGTACCACAACCATTCCGAGGGTCATACACCTCTAGACACTCATTCAGGCAACCTAGATAGAAACTGACTATAAGAACGCCACCGACATCGATTAACAGCCATACCTTTCAGCGTCTCCAACTAAGCGCAGTGGGGGTCACGCGGTCCTCCTGGAGAGTGAATAGCACCGACATCACCCAAACATTTCGTGATTTCTTTCATACCCCTCTGCCAAGTCATAGGTTGGCCACCTCTGCTTCCGCCACTCTGGACTGGGTGCGGAAAACCACTCTCTTCGTTAAGTGATGGTTCGTCAAGCGCACTACATCGCGCAGCCACCATATAGGATGGTTTTAGTACCTATGATTTGTCAAAACAAAGTGGATTTTCACCCGGGGTCGACGCCATTCACATGTGGTCGCTTGCGTTTAGCCACTTTCACTTAGCTACTGGTTTCTACCCAGTAGCATAATTCCACAAGCGCTTTTATGGAATCAGATTTAGACCACCGTGACAGTCTTGGTGTTTGGTTTGTTTGATCATATGAATTCTCACGAATAATCGATGGGCTTTGTGGATTCGGCGTTGTCAGTCTTTTCTCCAAGCGAATCTTAAACAGCTACAGGATAATCCATTTTGTCGTCGCTAGTTGCAAAAAGATGAATTAACCTTGAATTCAGGAGAGGAAAAACAGGAGTTAAGGTTTCCCTTAATTCCTTCGTGAATTCTCTTACTTTTGGTTTGGGAACACACTACATTCTTTCTAATGATGGACTTTTACGATAAAACTATGTGGACTTCACCTGAATCTATTGTGAACATATCATGTTGCCTTAGATTCAGCTTATCAGTCTTTAAGTATGCAATGTTTATACTGATATTACGCAAGCTGCCTGAATAGGGATCCCAGTCATTCTCATTAGAGACTCATGTGGGAAGAGAAATGAACATCCTGCTCCAAGTGAATCTTGACAGCACACATCTTTGTAACATGATTTGGCGATATTTACATGTCACGTGACATTGCCGAAAGAAACCCCTCCCTGGTGGGATGATTTCTAACCTGAACCCCGGCACCTTGCACTTTTCCCGTAGATCTTCATAGACAGACAGTTGGGAATATCCCCTCAGCAAGACACACAGAGTGTTGTCAGTTGTTCATGATCACCCCGACAATTTAGTGACAAGCAGGCACACCACACCTGTCATAGCACGTCGCCACACATCCACTGTACACACGAATCAGGAACGCTCTGGTAACTAATTTGCCGTTGAAGGCCGGGATTTGGAACAAGTGGGTCCAACTAATTCCAATATCATTTATGGTTTGGGACACGCATTCGGAGACACTCGACCAACTTATAGCACCTTAAAGCTGCTACGGTAGATTGGTAGGCGCGAACTCACTGGTTCGAAATCAACCCCGGCATCTCTACTGCTGCTGTCTAGGTGTGGGTATATCAGTCCTCGTGTTTCATTCGGGCGACACAACAGTAACATCACCTAAAGATTGCCAAAGCTGAACGCTAATTAGTATTGCTATTGTAATTACCATTATTATCATTCCTAGTTAACTCTCTAATGATATTTTAACTACATCGGTGTTTTTTTCACACTATCTATCTAAAGCGTTCGGTGGAAGATTGCGTTTTAAGTAGCCTTTTGAAGGGTTGTCCGAATTATCTGTTCTTATCATTCGTAGCTTTCGAACTACTCACTACAACAGTCCACCCATGCGTAATGCAGGTATGCAATACCCTGACCAAACTATTTGGTTTGTTCGTTCCGCACAACCAATTTTGTTTGATCACACGTCGTCCAGTCTTGATAAATCCAAGCATTTCACGCGATTGTCTTACTGGCTTGGCTTTCGTTTTGGTTTCAAAACTGACACTGGCAGCTGAAATGTGAGTGTGTGGGGTTGCCGGGTTTGGATAGATACTTGTCTCGTCGCCGAAGGGGTATATTTCTTTTGACGAATAGTATGCCGTTTTTGGTACCAGCAGATCGAAACTGCTTGTAACGTATGCGCAGTCCGAATTCAGCATGTAAGAGTGGAGTTTTCCTTTTTATCCATAAATGTATCCGTCCTTTAAGCAGTCATCAGTTTGTCTGCTAGTAGCCTGTTTTGAACCTACGTTTGCTTTTGCTACGGATGCTGCTGCTGAGTAAAAGCAGGGGCCTCAATTTCTAGTCTTCCCTCTGTTTACTCGGACTGCCCTGCTTTCATGAGGACACTCTGTTACTTGATATATCAGATTTCTTGAGTTGTAGAGAACTACGGCTCCGTTTCTGCCAATGTACTTCTATCCCAGCGTCCTGCAGTGCATATTCGTTCATCTGTTTCATTCAAGGCAGATGACCGCTTAAACTACATTTTAGGCCAGAAGATCTTAAAAAAAAACACAGAACAGTTGTGGTGTCACTTTAGCGCATGGTAGAAGTTAGAGCCCGTAAGAATGACAAGGGCCGAATGGGGGTTTTTTCGAATCAGCTTTTGAAGGTCTACCACTATGCGGAGTGTGATGTCTCACCAAAGGTCAGCTGAAACGTGGTTTCCTTTTATTTCTACTCCCCCATTGGGGTGACCACTTGAGTGGACGGAATAACAATGGTTCTTTGTTAGATTAATCTAAAAAGAAAAATACAAGAATCACCGCGTCGGAAATTTCGAGTATTTTGTTATTCTTGATGTCGTGTAAATGTTTTAGTTTGTGCTGATTAACATAATCCCCCGATGATGTACATGGAAGTGAACTTTTTGGAGGGTTTCGGTTCAACATTGTGAAAGACTATGAAATCCGAAGGGAATTCCAATAGGTTTGGAGCAGTTAAGTACTGATCACAGCCAGTGACTGTCATCGTTCAATCCCTGTGTTATACGCGTGAATATGCACTGGCTGGTCGAGCGTACGTAAAACAGGTGCTTGGTTTGTGTAGCCGTAAAATTATCCGTCAGATGTGAGTCGGTGATTGTTTCGGTCTCTAAGATGTATTTGAAAGGTGGTCTGTGGTCTGACCTGAGAAGCTGTATCTACAGGGTTTCTGAATCAATGCGGATTTCAACCTTAATAGTTTCACATTTGTACAACTCGTCAACATTATTGTTGTTCTGGTTAACAAAAATGGAACGTTTAACTCGAATGGCTACCCTGTCAAGTGGTCAGCGGTCATTCCGTATCTTTTTCTCCATATCCATTAACCCAGTATGCCGTAAAACCGAATGTCATCTTGATTTGATATCTTGTGGGTCGTTGCAACTCTATAAGTGGATCGTTCTTAGTCCACTTCTCATTCATCCCTTTATGTCAGACCAAACACGTGCTCTCATTGACCTCTGTTTGTATTTCTTTTAGAAGAAATGGCTTGGGCAAACGAAACTTCGGCATCACTTTGGGCAGAGTTAGTAAAGGAGGCAAAGGAGTATTATCACTACAACATCAACGCGTGAGTTCCGGTAACCTTCCACTACTCTTCTGTTCATTCGCTTCAATCTCTGTTGTTTGTTACTGGAAGGTCATTGATCAGAATTGTCCAGACTACAGGGGATCAGCAACTCTACTGGAGTGTCAGTATTCTGCTTTTATATAAATCTAACCTCTAGTGTTGAGTTACTGGTTTTAGGTTGAGCGACTTCGTAGTGTTGTTCCTACAAAGCTGCAACCCATGCAACTTCCCCTTCTAAAAAACTGTCCCAACGGTTGCTCAGGTATGCCACGGAACAGGCTATTTCCACCTAATAACCATTCATCGCATTGGCTGAAACAGTGGATAGTCGCTATCCATCCTTCAATTCACGCTTGCTTCCGACGTAATCATCTGTTTCCCCACTCTTCGTCTTGATTTTCTCCTCCCAGGGCCGATATCGATGCCTTCTGTACCCACTACGAGATTCATCGTGTGCAGCTTCTCCGAGCTTTCTGTCCTACTGTCGGCATTCAACTACTGCTCCGAGACTATCCGCTAACTCCTTCGAATGGGGCAAAGCACCACACCAAACCTGTGTTCGTCACTGAGGACATCCTTTCTCTATATCCGATTGTAAAACATTTGCACCCACATGCTACTGACGCCTATCATTATTTCACTACCGGACAAGCTCGTATTTCCACCGGTCACCTTCAAGAAGGTTTTGAATTGATAAACGAGGCCCTGAGCCTGCTCAATAGTGTGTATGGCCCTTTGCATCCTGATATTGGAGCTTGCAATCGCCTTCTTGCTCGTCTTTCCTATGTAATGGGAGAACATCAAGCAGCCCTACTTTTCCAACACCGCGCTACCATGGTTAGCGAACGCGTTCATGGGATCGACAATCCTAATACTACAACTGAATATGTGAGTGTCAGTATTTCAGCGTTCTCATACTACTTGATCAGATTAGATCAATTTTAGTACTCCCTTTCGAATTTTCGGTTTGCTCCTACTTGAACCTACGTGGATAACGCTTATATAGTCTGGTCGCTTTGGTCACTTGATTGTTTCTTTTTACAAGAGAGCTCACCAAGCAGTCATAATTACTGTATCCTTAGGTATACGCCATGCGATTCTCCCCGCTTGGCTGAGGTTCGGACAATAATATGGTGGTTTCTCCCATTGCAGGTTCATTTTGCACTGTACTCATTTGCTTGCGGACATATTGGACCTGCATTGCAGCTGCTATATCGTGCGCGGTATATCGCTCTAATGTGTCATGGGGAGATTCACCCGGAAATGATACAAATAGACGTAAGTCTCTTAGGGCGAATCAACATTTGGTTTCTTTTTGGCTTACCTATTATGTCGTGCGCGTTTCATACGAAAGTCGAACTGATTTCCAGGATATAGCCATTTAATCAACACTCAGTCACACTCTCGGAAATCCTTCCCATAATTGCTTGCGGAAATTAAATTTGACATTTTCTATGTCCTAATTTCTGGGGCATGTGCACGGATTATCGGAACGGTTACCGGCCCAGGTGGAGTCCGTACCAGGGTCCACGATCGTAACCGTTCAGCCACTGAACCAGTTGTTTTGCGCAACTTGTTAGTTCTATCTTTATGTTTATGCGGTTGCCTCAGTTGGTAATTATATGGGGGATCCCCAAACGATGGAGTTTTTTTTCACTTATGCATGTTTTGCAACTGAGGAAATTCCTGTGTCCTAACTCCCGACCAATCCGTTGCATGCAGTGTGGTCAGGGCGTTGCCCAGTTTTCATCCCACCTTTCTCACGTTGGTGCTTATTAGGATGGATGGATGACACACCAGCAAGCGAAGTAGTTACCCGCAAGCCACGCGGCTAACCGTTCCTGCTATTGCCTCTCCCAGTATGACTCGACCAAACTCAACGTTAGCCGAATATTGCTGCCAGGTCGGTGATTGGTCTATCTGATCTATAGGGCACAACAAGGTGAATTTCTAATGTCAACATACCTAATATGTCTGGGTAGACAAATTGGATATTGTTCAGAATCGCCCACGCATTCCCTTTCTACAGAGGTCAGTTTTCTCACAGATGTCTTTTGTGTCCGATGTCGAAATTCAGTTTGGGATAGCAATCCATTAGTCATTTTCAAATAGGGCAGGCTTTATAATCGCTTAGATTACTGGCTCTGTATTTGAAGCACAATCTTCAGGTCCACTGGTTTCTTGTTTGGCTAATCTGTGGATTGGGAGTAAATAGCTGTTTATCAGAGACTTTGACTACCCACCCGTTTCATTCTTTGGAGCGAGATGGCTCAACTGGTTAGAGCGCGAATTTACTGACCGGAAGGTCCGTAGTTCAAACCCGACCTCTACTTCTCGACTTCCCTTGTCTAGGCTTGGGTAACCTGGCAGTATCCCAGCCCTCCTGCTTCCCTCGGGTAGCATGGCAGCTAGGCACCGGAAGTGTTACAGCTGGGTGATTTGTTTATTTTTTATTTATCGGCAGTGTGTTGCTACCCATTTTGGTGGCGATGATGCTGCCCTGTAAACTGTTTTCTATGTCCGGAGATTTCGGCTGCATTACTTCATGCTTATCGTTGAAATAAATGTCACCCTCACTTTATTGTGTCGACTCGAACTTGGGAATCCCGCGTTTCTAAGCTGGCGTTTTTTTCGTGGTTCGTATTCAGGATAGAACGCTGAGCTACCATTGAGCGATTGACAAATTCTCCATCTGATGAATTTAATCGCGGGCTTCTACGCTCTCCTGTACTGAGGCTTTGGATAAACCACTAGTTCTGGAATTTTCGAACTTTCTGTTCACCTGATTATCCGTAAACAAGGCAAAAGCTGTCATGCGAATTAATTTAGTCATGCCTGACATTCCTCATGAGCGGAATCATTATTGATCACTGAAACCAGAGTGACTGTTTCGTTGCCATCGAACGCAACACGTTAAGCCAGAAGAACATCAACATGGGAGAAGAGGACAAAAATGGAAAAGAAAATCGATGAACCTATAGTCGCCATATCTAATAGTACTCGATACCTGCATTTCCGAACCCATCTGTTTAACACATTCGACAACTGCAAGCTGTGAGGTCTACTTCCAAGCTCGATGAGGGTTTCGTGAACCAGTGAATAACACCAATGACACGCAAACTGTTCGTTGATTACCTTTATACACATTGAGCAACTGATCACCTTGACAATCACTGCAATGAATGTATTACTTAGGGAAACTGTGTTAGTTTTATAAAAAGACCGCGATTATTTGGCATTTCCTCTTGGACTAACCTCTCCTAGAAGGGTTCGTGTCTCACGTCTTTGTTGAGGAAAAACGTTGTGAAGTCTAGAGAATAGCTGATTTTACAGGTTAGTGCATCTAGTTGACAATCGAAAATCATTATTTACACCACTTTATATCACTTCTGCGATATTTGCGGATACGCAACGCCTTTTTATAATATCGATGGTTCAAGTTCCGCAGTGGTTTCAGACTCTGCTGACCTAGGTCATGGTTAGTTCCTGTATAGCTCGAGATGTATGACAGGCCACCAGTGATGCAAGTAGGTTTTCGTAACTCTTACTCTCGACTTTTTACCGTCACCAGAGTTAGCACTAATGCAATGCGGAACCAAGACTACCTTTGCGTAATGAGGTATGTCTAACTGTCCCAACTTGGCCGTTCCCATCCACACTCATTCAGAAAAGCAGAGAGTTGGATTTGGCCACTTACGCTCCTGTCATCATAACCTCGGTGCACAATGCTGTAGCATCCGGAACCGTATGCACTAATTATAGACAAAAAATGAAGAGGTGGCATCCTTGGTTACGGTCTTACACGGTGTAGGCACAAAGATCTTAGTGCTACGTCGAGACATTTGCTCTCCTATTGCTACTGGACAGACTGGTGATTTTTCGCTTTCCTCATCCGACTTCCTCTCCTTTTGCTTCTCCCATTCAAATTTTAAGAACCTCTTGGTATGGCCAAGAAACGTAGACCCTAGTCAGTTACTTCGTCAGAGCGAATAAGGCTGCACAAGCTTCCGTGACCTTTCGTCGTTTTTCAATTTCAGAAGCCCATTCTTACCACCATCCACCATTTTGCGTTGTGCACCATGGGTGGGTTCTTTGATTTGATCTCAATTGTGGTTTCTTTGCAATTGGTTTCTATTATTGTTACTAATAATATTATTTCATTGGTACTGTGCCAGTGGACAAGCCCATATAAACGTGTACTGCAACACCACCCCGGCGGTATGCTCACGTTTATGGCTCTCGTTTTTAATCGTAGTTAATTAGTCGTTTGCACACAAGTGCTCGTGGTCTCTGACATTTGACCTTTTAAATTTCAGACCAATATTGGCCTCATGCTGCAAATGATCGGTGAACTTGATTTGGCACTAGTTTTTCTTGAGAATGCGCTTTCGCTCAGCCGAACGTGAGTTGAAATTATTCTGTTTTGTCCTTTGTGGCCATAACCGGCTAGTCACAAGTCGTTCGGGGATGCCTCTGTCGGCTTCGAACTTGGCACATTGTGCATGCCGTACTAAGGATGTCCAGAGTTTCCGTGATCCCAGTTATAATTTAGCCTTGTTATGACGGCATATTCTGCTTCGGGAAACATTGCTGACCTAACGAAGCTGATTTGGTAGCCTAGCCCTGTTAGTGAATAAAGTCTATTTTCGAAAACAGAGCTTCCTATCTTCCCGTGACGTATAGAAAGAAATCATCATCATGGTCAGCTGTAAGAACCGTGTACTTATCGTCAAGTGGTTGTAGCGGCTTTCGGTAGCCAGGAGTATTTAACAAGCTGATTACTCGTATAGAACTCGGTAATTTTTTCCTCTTGTTTGTCCATAACTCGAACAAGTTATCTCAAGCAACTACTGCTGATGTCCTAAAAACCCAGTGATCATAGGAGCGTACCGTAACTTCATCCGCACCCCTCCATTCTCCGCGCGGAATCGTCGCCTTTGGCCACCCCCCTTATCTGTTTCAGGGACAATCTCTTCAACCGATATGGGAGCGTACCGTAACTTCATCCGCACCCTTCCATTCTCCGCGCGGAATTGTCGCCTTTGGCCACTCCCATTATGTTTCAGGGACAATCTCTTCAACCGATATATCGCACTGTTTTGATCATCCCTGGCGAATTCTGGAGTCGTCCCTTGAAACCACTGTTTTCTGTCATTCTAGCCAGGTTGCAATATGGCTCGATTGGGTCACTTGCGGAGTAGATCTCAGAATCCTCTAAAACCGTCAAATCAACGATGGCCCCGTACAATTTGCCGGTGGGAATTACCACCTGAGGCTTACCTTCGTCGACTGCCCCAAATAAGCCGACTCAGATAACTTCAGAAAAAGTTATTTTCTTTACTGGCATTTGAGGGGTTAAGTATGCCGCTGTCAGTTATTTGAAATAAGGCGGCTATGTTCAGACAGCCCAACTGCTACCTGATAAAGTGTGACCTGTCCCCCTTCGTTATTTCGTACGCTGACTTCCTCTGTGGTGATCATCGGTTGCGGACATTCGCACGCACCGCCACTCGCAAGCCTCCACATACCCATAAGTTTTGTTAGTTTACTGAATTACGAGTCACCACCATCATGATTGTCAGCTGTAAGAACCGCGTACTGCCACAGTTTCGTTCACCGATGATTTGGGGAGCTGGGGTGGATAGCTGCGCATTGGAGGCGAAAGCTGATAAATTCGTGCGTAAATACAGCACTGTCAGTGGACTGTCAAATGGGGATTTGGGAAGGGCGCTATGCATTCAAGGCAGTAGCTTTGATGCACGAGCGCCATTTCTGACAATGCCTCCAACCGTTGATGTGGCCCGTCTCGGGGTTTTCATCCAGGAAGACGGCAGTGACCAGCGCAGCTGAGTTTGCTGGTAATGGCTTTCATATTTCGCTTGACCGCCTCTGACTCGTTTTCACCCTTCACGTGGCTGTGCGAAAAGAATCATTGGAGGAAGTCGGTCGAATGGCATGCGCAGCAAGTAGCCAAGCCAGCGCAACCTGTGCTTTGTGATCAGTCCATCTACCGAGAGAGTAATTTTTCCCGAATACCATTTAACATACTCCAGCATTGCTGATCCGGTGTTCCCACCAGACTCGGGCAGTGCTCCGAAGACATCGATGGTCAAACACTGAAGGTTTTTTGACGTCCTCAGCGCGCAGTCACCAGGTTTCTCATCCATATAGTAATATGGAGCGCATTGTAAACTCGACTCTTGACAGAGAAGCTGGTATCATGCCTACGCCACAAGTGACGCAGATTCACAAAAGCTTCTCTGGCCTTCCCAAACCAGGGTGGAAATATCATCTTTAGCGAGATCACTGGGAGTGATACAGCTGCCCAGGTAAACGCATTTGTCTACTACCTCAATCGGTTCATCCGCAAGCACGAGGCTAGGGTTCTAGCCCACCCAGTCTTGCAGTAGCACTTTACATTTTGCAGGTGTGAAGTGCATGCCGAACCTGGAGGCGGAATTATTTAGATTATTTAATATTGTTTGCATTACCACGGGGTCAGATCCCACAAGAGCTATATCGTCTGCGTACTCGATGTCTGTGAGTGGACGCTTATAGGCATTAGAGGCTGGTAGTGAGTCTTCCATGATCGTGTCATTGACGAAGTTGAAAATGGAAAGGGACAGCCCTGTCTGACACCACTTGATGTGGTGAACTCAGGTGAGAGCTTCCCGTAAACCTTCATATGGCCGCGGGAGTTGGCGTACAGCGCCTTAAGGAGGGTCAAAAATTTATGGGGGACACCTCTGCTCCGCAAACGGTCCCCCGACGGTCCACACAGTCAAAGGCAGTTTTCATATCAAGGAACACGACCATTATTGGTTGCTGGAAGCAGTGTCGCTGTTCCAGGATTCATCGGGGGGTGAAGATATGAACGATGCAACATTTATGTGTGGCTTTGCTGTCTTGGCTGAGGCTGTAGGATTCGGTGGTCCGGTGTCGGTTACCAGATAGTGATGAAATGGCATGACTGACCGCTTTTTGGCGGAAGCCTGCAACGTCAGCCTGAATTTCACGAGTGCTCGCATACTCGTTTCCTTGACGCACAGTTATGGGGCATGTGACAACACATGACCGCATGCCAGGTCTTTCAAGCTGTAATGTGTGCGTGTGTGTGTGTAAGTTGCGGAAACCCAGCATGAGAGCAGAAAGTCTTGCGCACCTAAGCATACAAATAAAAAAGACGAAGAAAAGTTAACAGTTCGTCACTTTGTTTCCCTATATGATCGACACAGACTCATCGGGAGCCTAAGGCAGCTTGGTGATATTCAGTGTCTCTAAAGTAGGCTGTTCAACATATGCTATAGCTATCGTTTTAAAGCTTAAATTGTGCGCACACTCTTCTCAGGCAATCACCTCGTAGTACAAAGCCGAAAGGCACTGCACAACTTTCCTGCTTATTGGCAAGTTGAACACCACCGTATGGCTGCAGGTTCCTGATTATCAGTTTTGTTAACTTGCACTTAGACGGGAGATATCAACATTCATCTTTTAACCATACATCCTTTGTTATGCGGTCCGGTGCTGACTGATCTTTGATTGATGGCTTCTTGGGATGTAGCTAATTCCTAATACTGATGAAATGAGTTTACAGCTTAGCCCGGGTGATTGAGTAGTAAGATCCTGAACAACCATTATGGCGACTCGGGTACAATCCCTATGTGGGCATTTTCATTCTGGGTGCTGGTGGCCCTCTTGGTAATCTCTACATATGGATTTCATAATCAAGGACGTATAAGGAAATGGTCCCGTGGCCAGTGTCTATTATGACATCAAGAAATGCATTGTGGAGTGTGAGTTTAACAACGATGTCTCTAGTATTTCCAGTCAACGCTACGATCACTTACAAGTTTGGCGACTTCGCTTAAAAGCTAGACCGACCACTTTATGGAAGCTTAGTCGTATGAGTGACAACCTAACTGAACAGACGTCACAGAGACCTCTTAGTTAAGGTAATGCTGTCAGTGGCCATCAATGTAGTTGGGGCTATCAGTATCGTCAAAAAAGGCCAGGAACTTTGATTTTTTGTTTCCGAAAGTACTTTCGTATATCCTACTCGTTTCATTCCAAGCACCCTTGAATACTGCTGGTAAACTTTGAGTCAGTTGTACGACTGTCCCTCAAAATGCCCCTCCAAACCTCATATTACCATACAGTTTCAACCTTTCTCAAAGTTTGTTGCAGACGCGTCCTGCCTAATCATGGTCCGGCATGGGTAGACAACGGACATCTAGGAGACTCTTTTACCGCAAATGCAAATTGCTTTTAATAATGCAAGCTTGAATAAGCACCAAAAAATCGAAGATTCAGGCTAGTTCACTAAGTTTCCGTCACCGACTTTGCATTTCGTCGGCATACCTGACAAAGTCCGCCCTCCTATTGTTGGCTTGCTTTCGGTCGCAGGGGCTAGTTCATAAGTTTCCGTCACCGACTTTGCATTTCGTCGGCATACCTGACAAAGTCCGCCCTCCTATTGTTGGCTTGCTTTCGGTCGCAGGGAGATAATCAATATGCGAACACTATTATCAGGCAGTTCGTGTATACTACTTTACCTTAGGTTGTTTCACATGATGGTAGATCTGAACACGGCTCATCAGACGTTCAAACGGCTGAAGGGGCGACAAGCAACAGGAGACTGATTTTGGAACCACAGAAAAATGTGTGGGGTACATACTTCGCTCAATAAGATGCATTGAATCAAATGGGCATTCTATTGTACGATAATTACGCTTCGAACTGGATCAGCGGGAGGGATCAGAATAAAAATACAAACAGGTAACAGATTTCTTGGTGATTGAGGTTGATTCGGTGATCAAGCGAAAGCCAGGGACCTTCCCGCTGAAGGTACCATTAACCAGGTCCTATTTGGTAGGGGTCACTGTGTTTTAATTTGAGTATTCTTGGCTACTTGAGCTTTTCTGACAACCCCTTCAATTTACGAGACTCAGCCCAATTTTTCGGATTACAGGTGTACCAAAACTTCTTGGTTATTTTGTGCGAACAAGTTGTAGCTTCGGGGAGTTTGGACGATGATTCTACCTTTGAAGAAGTGACTAATTGATATAGGCCTTGTGAATGTTTAAGCTGTCGAACATATATCATTATGAGGCAAGCATTTTGCTCTACTTTCCGCAATTTTACCCCACTTTCTGCTACTTTTTCTGTATCAGAGGATCCTAGAGCGACCGCAGACATTCCTGATAACCTCATCGGACTGATAGTTTGGGAGATCTTTAGTGATTCCTTCAGGTTCACTCCTAAATCTTTAGGTTTCCGTTGCTCCGCATGAATTTACATGTTCAGTCCATGTTTGCCATTCACTAACTGATGCGCGATCGCAGGTAAAACAGTTGTTCCACTGTTACCTACAGTCAAGCATGCATCAAAACGATTAACATGTATCTACAACGTACATCGGTTCAAATACCATACAAGTTCTCGATTATGGTTCAGATTGTCCTTCGCTGCCTCAAGTTTTTCATAGATTTTCCTATAGTTCTTGATCGTAATGAGATGGGGCGAAACGTCAGTGAACTAGATTTCAGCGATTGCAGCAGCGCAAAATGGTGGGTGGTCATTGGTTGGTGAGCCTGACTGCTCTCGGTCACTCTACATAATGAGCTATAATCTGATTGTTAAACCAGGTTGATTGGTTGTATGATTATCGATAGGTGTTCTGTACGATCTTTCCTACTGTCACATTGTTGGATTTCGCTGGGGAGCTGTTGATGTGAACTTTTGAGTATTCGCTTGTTTAAGCTTTCTTGTCCTCTGGTTTGAAGTGCAACCTGGTTTGCTAACACACTCTCGCCAATTTAATCACCCCAGATTCTATGGAGAGAAGAATTTGAAAGAGGCATTCACATGTCACCTGATCAGCCGAGCCTATACCTATCGAGGCGATTTTCGCGCGGCTTTGGACTATGAAAAAAGACGGTTCGCCATCTACAAGGATCGCCTTGGACCAGATAATGATTACACTCGTGACAGCGATGAATGCCTACGACATCTTACTCAACAGGCAGTTACACGGGCGCGGAGAGTCGCGGAATTGGCTGCATCCAGTGTTCCAAAACTCACTAGCACAGGTGATCCCAAGACCCTTGGTCCGCAAATCACAGATACTGATGGAATCAGTGGCATATCGCCCGCGTATCCGCTCCGAACTCTCATGCCCACCACACTTTCGTCGTATGGTGTAACCCTACCTGTGCCTACAGTCACCACCACTTTGGAGACTCTAAATCGCGTTAATGGAATTCTGGTACTCCAGCTTAGGTAAGCTGTGCCTACTACTAGTAATGTCCTCTCTGACTTTTATCACCAAACACTGAAAGATGAGGGAAGCGGAAACCCTACTGTTAAGGGAATCTAGTAGGAGGTGTCTGGTTAGCAGGTTTCTTTATCAGATACTTGCTGGATGAAATTTTACGGACTGGGCGAACCGAATAGGAGTCGTATAGGTCCCAAGATAGTACTTCCTTACTTTTTATATTGACTTTCATGACCATCTGACATGTAACTTGAAGTCTGATTCAGTTTGCATGGCATTCTCCCACAGGACCCAAGAAACGGAACAGACAACCGAGAGTCAGAGTACTGAAGATACCCGTGCTAGGATCAAACTCGCAGCAGACTGTGAACTGATATCAGAGGAAAAGCTCAGTGGACAATGTTTGGATGTTGTCGACTCCGATAATGTGCTACCCGACGTCACCGCTGCGCTTTCAGTGGCCTAGAACACTTTGCGTTTGCCTTCTTTGAGCTGTTCGGAGGACTGTGGGTTTCTAGGCGTTATTTTGCAAGTGGTTACAAAACCTTGTGCCGTTTCTCTACTTTCTGTGACAGACTGCCACCATGTGATGTAAACAACGTTTGTATACGAGCCTATCCTGCTCCTTCGTCGTTTTCTATCAGCGCTCTCAACAACCTTTTCACCTGTACCATAGTTACCTAGTCTCACCGCCTTTCCCTGGCCTCTTACTGCTGCTAGGGGCCTAATTGTTCTACTATTTTGAAATCGACCTATATTTTCACCGTGTAGTCTTAGATTATAGATAGCCTAGTTTAGCTATGCTCAGGAGAGTTAGATGCATTTCTGTGCGATTGTTTTAATTTATATGAACTACCATCACATCGTGGTCTGACCATTCTTTGTAGTCCGGTGCCACTGTGTGCTACTCATATACTGCCTTTGGCGCAACCAGTTCTTTTGTCAAGCACGAACTAACAATATTATTGAACAATCTTTCTTTTCTTTCTAATTTTCTACTCGGGTTACTTGGTGTTAAGTGTGAACAGGTGAATGGTGTATCGTGCTCTAATCTATCTCAGCTGTTATTTCAGGTTGTGTACCAGGAACGTATCAGGCATGGCTTTTGGCTGGTTAACCAGTCAGACTGCAGCGTAATTTAACAGTAAACTGTATTATTTCATGGGAAACGCTATAACTGTCTTTTTGGGTTGGAAATTGTATTCTCTTCCGGAATACCTCAAATGCGGTCCGCCACCTTCAAAGAATGATTGGCAATCAGCGTCAAAAATAGTCAAGATGCGTGTTGCCGTAGCGTGCACAGACAGGCCTTGGTAATGGTTTGCACTAGGAATAGGCTGTAACACCTAGTGCTATTTTCAGCTGGTTAGGGGACACGCGATTAAAACTGATTAAAGCTTCTGAGTCATTGGAACAGTCAGTGACTGTCAGTGAGTTTGTCTTCCACAGCTAAAAATGCTACCACCATTAAAGTAGTGTCCTAAATCAACTTAAACTGACGCGAAAAATACCCCCACCTATGCAACGTGACAGTTGAGCTCGCAACTTTTGTCTCCACTAAGCATCATTTTCTTCCATTTGATGTGCCTTTTAATCAGCTGGAGGCACTCCCATTTTTTCATGTTTCAAATGCAGAGTACATCATCATCAACGACAGCAACATCAGTATTGGTACTGATGCTTCACTTCCGTACAACCAACCATGCCTAAACCCAAATGTGAAATGGTGACCTTTTACAAAGAAAATGCTCGTTTCATAGTTTAACACTGTCAGTCAGAGTACACAATGATGCTTTAGACTGGAGGAAAACAGACTCGGGTTCTTTCGCGAAGAAATAGGTTAAGCAAATTTCGTTGCAATGCATCTGACGCTTATCCCAACATCACTGTGCCATCCAGAGGAAACGAAGATGCGAATGGTACTTTTAAATAGCCTCAAGTGAACTAACGTCGTGTTCATACGCGAGGGACAGCTTATCCAAGATTAATAATCAGGAAGAGGAACGTTGCAATCGTGACCGTGACGCACCGCGTGTCAGATACTGTTTGCAGCTATTACCCAGACCAACGAAGTTGTCAAATAGGCGATATCCACTTCCCAACATGTAAGTCTAAGTTTTATATGTACTGAATCGACACTACTGGTAAATCCAGTAGACAGGGTTTCGTTGTGTGGTATCTTGGAAATGTGAAACTCTCAAGATGAATGAGAGCGAAAAAATTGAAAAACGGAATCTTAATAGCGTCACTAAAAGGCTGGGCGATTTCAGAGCATGTACTGAGCATGGACAAAGAGGACTACGGTCCACGTTACAGAGACTGATGGCCGAGGCGGTAGAAATCGCCAAGCCTCCAAGTGTTAACAGAATAAAAGGAATGGAACTGGCGAGCGTGTGGAGAATGGCTTTGGATCAGTCGAGCTGACACGTGTTGGTGTGCGGTCATCAGAAGGAGGATTAGTCACCATCTGAATTCCACTTGACCTCATCCACCCCCTCCACACCAAATTGTCACAGCACTCACAACTCCACAAAGATCAAGGAAATATACCAGTGGCACCCGAGGTGAATCGTCAATTGAAGCACCCTGAAATGGAAGATTAAGGAACCAAACCCGATCAGAATTAATTTGAAACTCCCCAATCCACCAACGCAAAATTTTGACAACCACACTAACCGAGAAGAGTCGTTAATTGACACTCCAGTGTGGTAGTCTGAACAGGACTTACTGATTGGTTCCCCGTCTGTCTTATAACCTGACCAATTTGGTGACCTGCTCACTTGGCCTGATGCCTTTGTGTCAAAAGCGAAACTTTGCCCAAATAGAAAACTACCGATTGTTTATCAAGCCCCAATGAAACGAAGTCCTAATAGCGTTTTCACATTATACGCGATAGTGTGAAAACCTGGGTACGATCGGAGAATCCGTAGTTAGATACGATCTGAGTTATGTCGCTAAGACTTTCGCTTCGCTTAGGGAGAGATAAAGGAAGAAATGTGCAATTTGTTATTCTGGATGATAACTTGGTTGGACCTAAACCGCTCGCTGGTGATTCCTCTGCTGTCCAGGCGATGTCCGTCTACCAGCATCCATATCGTTCCCAATCAGAGAAAAAAACTAGTTCAACTGGTACATTGACGAACCGAACAGAAGCACCACTGATGCGTTTAATTGTATTGTGAACCTAATACCTCACACATCCCATCCGCCAACTTGTACTGCCACTCAAGCTGAATGAACTGTTACATTATCTTGGCCGTCCTGAAACATGTATTCTAGAAACATTTCCCCAAAATTCCTTATAAAATGAGAGTGTACCTGTTATGCCACACGATTGTCGTATCCTAGTAATGTGTGCATTTGATTGACTATCCAGAACTCCTAGCACAATACCATAAGTTTAGCACAACCAGCCGCCATTTTTCAAATGGTTTGAATGGTTCTCTCACACTCACGATACTTGATCGTGATCTGTTACTAGAGTTACGCTGCTAAAAGTATTTTGAAAGAGCTGATCGGGGGGAATTGAAGTAAGCAAGACGGCTGAACCTTGATTTTTTCGAGCACGCTTCAGTGGATGTACTGAGGGCGGTGACCATCGAGTGGTCAATTGGCGTTCGGGTCGTGCTCACGGGTGATTTTCCACACAAAGGCAGATATCTGAGGACTAGCCGTATGAGGGCCAGTCACAATACGGTAGGGTGTTTTGGTTTTGATGCTTTTCACTGCATCAGAAATAGGCTGTACGGTCAGATATTCTGCCGTATAATCCAGAATAAAACGGTATGCTTTACTGCGTCCATTTGTGTTATTTACTAGAGCATGATGTGATCACGTTAGGCGTAGGTAATCAAAGGACAGTGATACTGCTGGCTTGACCTGGTTTTCAGCACCATTGTCTCAATAGAATGCAGGTCCGGATTCACGAATAGGGAGCTTGATCTGAGAACGAGGTTACGTGACATGTCTGCAGCTTCGTTCGACTTGGCGGTACAGGAGTGACTAGAAAGGAATGCTGTAATCACATGCTGAAAATCTGTGCACAGCAGAACACCGGGTTTTTGGGAGAACACCATTTAGTAGCTTCATGGTGCGCGTCGCGATTCGCCTGGAACTTGTCCATTCAGAGCCCCTCATCTCATACGTGGGATGCTTTCGAACTAAGCGGAATGTCCGACTGCTGACTCATGCGCTTGCTAGGATTTTATTCATCGTTCGCAGGTCACTAGCACTGTTTATTTTTAGAACCGCAGTGCCAAAAAGTAATATTTTATTGTGCTGTTTTAATAAACAGATGATGCTCACTGATTGCTTCGATAACCCCATGGTTTGAGCAAGAACACGGTGGCGAAAATAATGTTTTCTGGATCTCGTCTTCCGGTCAGTACATATCTAATGGTCAAAATAGGGGTGGATAATGAAATGATCAGCTAAAATTGGATTGTCTCACAACATCCAATTAGATGCGAATTTAATTGCGACGACATCCACTCCTTCGTATCTCTGTGTTTTGTACTTCACTAGCCAACCTTAGCTACTTATGTCATTATTCACCACTGTTTTGATTATTAGATGTGTATTGATAATGTGAAGATGAGATCCAGAAAACATCAATGTTCGTCAATGTATTCTTGTTCAATGCTAACTGAGCCAAGTGACACGAGCATCTTCTGTTCTGGGAGCAATGGGAACCGGTTAATCGTTTCACATTCCGTTACGTTCAGCTGAAGTATTAACCCTGAGGAAGGGAACTAGTACTGGTATTGTTGGAACTCATTGTGTATTATAGTCCTATATAAACAGTTCGAACAGAGTCGGCATTTCTTACACCACAGTGAATTTCGGTGTCGCTCAAATAAGGGAAACGCATTCGAACTTTTCTCACGACGAATATGTTTTCATTCAATTGATAGGACAAGTTGTCTTGCTGAACCAATGACATCTGATCGGATTGTTTCGCTGAAGAACAATGTGTTTGTTGCACAGCTGTTTTCAAGTACAAAAAACTTGACTGAAGGTGGACGGACAATCGAATTGAATCGTTCAGCTGTAGCACCCTTTCGGTGCCTAGCTGCCATGCCGCAGGAAGGAAGCCAGTTTGCCCAAACCTCTAGGCCTCTATGGGAAAGCAAGAAGCAGAGGTCGGGTTCGAATCACGGACCTTCCGGTCAGTAAATTGGCGCTCTAACCACTTGAGCCATCTCGCCCCAGTATACCGAAACGAACGGTCCGGACGGTTTTGTTGGCGAGTTATACGAAGGTATTCCTATTAAGGCCGTGCAGAGAGGCTCTTACGCCTTGTGGGCTTACTTTATCTGCGTCCCGGTAGCTTACCAATGAACCGACGGATAAAGCACGTACACTCTTAATAAGATGGAAGAACTTTCGACAGATCCACTGCCCGATACGGGTGCTTCCTTTTTGAAATCGAATGTTGAACCTAATTTGATAGCTCGATAGTCCCCCTATTCGTTTACCTATTCCACCTGTGTACATATTGACCAACACCTCCGTTGATGCAGCTGCGTGTGTATCCTTACGATGTGTCACTGAATTAAAATCACTACAGATTCAGTAGGTATTGCCTGAAGTTCGTGTTACGGAACAGATGGCTTCGCGAGATCTACTTTGGGGTGGGGGGGACATTGGTTAATGAACAATGAGAAGACTGTTCGAAAACGAAGAACCCAAGTGTCAGCTGACCACTTACTGTTTAAAACAGAGCTCTCTCAATGACGAATTGATTGACATTGCGAGTTACAGACCGTTCGCCAACCGAGTTTCCGTCTATGTCGATTGAGTATCGCTTGCATCGTCCCAAAAAGTGCAGACGCCACTGTATCTGCAACTTCTGAATCCCCAAAGGTGTGTTATCCTCAAAGACGTGGCTCAGATGGTTAATCCAACGACAGGAGTGCGTGAGGAAAATTCGGTTTCTGGTGTTCTTGAAAACGGAATGTTCTCACAA